CCCGCGGGTAAAATTACCCATATTTGCAAAGCATCAATTTGAACAATTCATAGTCATAAACAACAACATATAATCATAATTTACAACAATATATTATAAACAACAAATTGCCCAGCTCCGGCGATGGAGGGCCAATGATGGCGGCACGCCTTCGCCTCTTTTGAGTGCTTATTTTTTATATATTTTTTGATGTTCGTTATACAACCATGATTAAAAATGAATATATATCACAAGTTAAAAAAATTGCAGCAGCCCAACTGTACCTGGCCATGGGCAGCCCGGCCCGGATGGCCTGACCCGACCCGAGCCGGACTGAGCCCGAGTGTGCCATCGGGCCGGGCTCGGGCCGGAAGAAAATGCAATTTTCAGCGTAGTCAGGCCGGGCCAACCGGGCCAGGTTGGGCTTTCTCGGGCTTGGGCCCGATTTAGTAGGCCTGATGGTTGGGCCGGGCTGGGCTCAGGCCTGGGTTTTTAGCACCAGGCTTTTTTTGGCCCGGCCCGAGATACGCCCAGGTATAAGCCGCCCAGCCCATTCCCGTAAGTGACCAGCCACCCACAGACGGCACGAGTCCATCGTGGCGAAAAAGGAAAAACCCGACTCCACTTAACTGCACGCCGCGGCGTCTTCCACCTCCGAATTCGCCCCCCAAACCAAAACCAAATCCCTCCACAAAATCCCCAATCCCCGGCCATGGCGACGAGCCCGCCTCCGCCGCGCCGCTCCCGCCGGACGCTGGAGCTGCCAGACGACGTCATGGAGGAGATCTTCCTCCGCCTACCGGCGGACAACCCCGCGAGCCTCGTCCGCATCGCCGGCGGCTGCAAGAGCTGGCTGGCCATGGTCTCCGACCCCAACTTCGCCCCCGCCTACCGCAGGCTCCGCGACGCGCCGCCCATGCTGGGCTTCCTCTACAACTACCGCTACACCGACGAGGGAGCGCCCTACTGGACGTCCCACTTCCGCGCCGCCGCGGCCCTCCCCCAGCGGGTGCGCCGCGACCGCAAGCACTGGCGCGCTCTCGACTCCCGGCACGGCCTCGTCCTCTTCGACGCCCCTGAGAGTAACGGCCGCCTCGTCGTCTCCGACCTCGTCACCGGGGAGCACTGGAGAATCAACGCCCACATAGCGTCCCCGGATGCGTGTAATGTTGCAGTGCTCTGTGCCAAGGACGGATGCAACCACCGTGATTGCCATGGCGGCCCTTTCCTCGTGGCCTGCGTGGTCTCCGTCGTGGCAGGGAACCGGAGGATAGCCAGCGCCATGTTCTACTCATCAGTTACTCGCAAGTGGATTGGCCCGGCCTTCCTCGAGCACCCGAATGTCATCGATGGCAGGGGGCACAGTGCTGTGCTGGGAAATAAGGTCTATGTCCCCTGTGTGAAGGATGGCAGTGTCGTGGAGTACAACACGTCTGAGAACAAGCTATCTGTGATCAAGGCGCCATTTGAGGTCCAGGACCAGAAGATTGAGCTCATGGGGGTGGAGGACGGAATGCTGCTGTTTGCGTCTGTGGTGAAGCCTAGACTCTACCTATGGTCAATGGAGGCTGGTCCCAGGGGAGCTGCGGGACGGGCACGAAGCAGGTTCATCGAGCTCGGGCCGTTGCTCCCTAGTACTGTCCTCGTGGACAACACCGAAGTGTCGGCGGTTGGTTTTGCGGAAGGTGTTGGTATCATCTTCATCAAGACAAGGGTTGGGTTGTACACAATTCAGCTCAAATCAAAACAAAGCGACCAGGCAATAAGGTTGGTGCACAGAGGGTACATCAATAAGGTCATACCCTACATGAGCTTCTACACTGGAGGTACAGATAACTGTTTCCAAACATGCACATTAAGTCATGAACTCTAAGCACACCATCGACTACTATTATTGCTTGTAGCTTAGATAGTTGAATAATTTAAAGGCTGAGTTCCTAGTGTGGTATGTGATTCCTAAACATCGGCGAGTATGTAGAGTTTTTCTTCTATTTTTCTGCATAACTAAATAGATATCTGTATGTGGGTCTGCTCGCATTTTTCTGGCCTTTGGGTGATTTGTAGAGATGTTAGGAAGCAGGAGCCCATTCTTTGTGCTGTTATACTATTCATTCAGGTGTTGAGTCGTGCTGCAGACCTGGGTGATTATAGGCAACCATGAGTAACCCGTGATTTTTCATGCCATGTTGTCTTTGCGTCTATAGAAGCCAGAGAAAAAGATACAGTAGTCGCGTGGAATTGGCGTCGGGCAGATTAACTAGGCATCTAACTAAAGAATTCCATGGTGGATGTATAATTTCATTGGCTGCGCTATTATATGTTGTGCTGATTGGCTTTACTGCCGGTAAGCCTTAGTTAAAACTTTGCTGATCATGTCCTAAGATTGGCAAGAGCAGTTTGCAAATCAGTCAAGTGATCAGAGCTTTGCTGTGAGCCAAGAGGTCTCTGGCACCCAAACATCTGTGTAGTGTTTTGGATAGGATAACCTAGTCCCAGGCATGCACTAGGCACTTGTCCATGAGCCTGCCCGAATGAAAGAGATGATTTCATTGTTGCGTACTTAGAGCATTGTAGGTCCAGATTGAACCGTGTTGTGATGTGGATGCTTCCTGCTATCGCTTTGTTGATTTGGTCAGTTAGAAATGAAATGATTTTGAGAGCAGTGTGCTCCTCTCTACTCATCATGTCATCTTATGAAGCCTTGTCTCTACATGAGCTTCTACACTGGAGGTACAGACACGCACATTAAGTCATGAATGCTAAGCATACCATCGACTACTATTATTGCTTATAGCTTAGATTGTTGAATAATTTAAGTCTGAGAGTTCCTAGTGTGGTATGCGATTCCTAAATGTCAAAGAGTATGTAGAGTTTTTTCTTCTATTTTTCTGCATAAGTAGATACATATCTGTATGCGGTCTAGTTTGTGGGTGATTTGTAGAGATGTACTCCCTCCGTCCCATAATATAAGAGTGTTTTTGACATTAGTGTAGTGTAAAAAACGCTCTTATATTATGGGACTGAGGGAGTAGGAAGTAGGAGCCCATTCTTTGTGCTGTTATACCATTCAGATGTTGAGTCGTGCTGCATACCTTGGTGATTGTAGGCAACCATGAGTGGCCTGTGATTTTTCCTGCCATCTTTGTCTTTGTGTTGATAGAAGCCAGAGACAAGGATACAATAGTTGTGTGGAATTGGGTTAGCCAGACTAACTAGGCGGCTGACCAAAGAATTTGATGGTGGATGTATAGATTTATGTTTCATTGGCTGCTCTATTATATGTTTCGCTGATTGGTGTTACGAGTTGGTAAGCCTTAGTCAAAGCTTTGCTGATCAGGCCCTAAGATTGCCAAGAGCAGTTTGTAAAGCAACTAAGTGATGAGAGCTTTGCTGTGAGCCAAGAGGTCTCTGGAAGCCAAACATCCCTGTGGTGTTTTGGGTAGGATAACCTAGTCCCATGTATGCATTTGGCATTTGCCCACGAGCCTGCCCGAATGAAAGATATGATTTCATTGTAGCATTGTAGGTCCAGATTGAATCGTGTTGTGATGTGGATCTTCCTGCTATCACTTTTGTTCATTTGAACAGCTAGAAATGAAATGATTTTGAGGGCACTCTCTAGTCATCATGTCATCTTATGAAGCCTTGTCTCTTATGGTGCAGCATGGGGGCCTTTGCCAGCATCTGATGAAGCTTAACGTGCAGTTGTTGATGCTACAATGATATAACCAAATGGCGCCAGGACTTGGGTTTACTTTCTCTACCCAGGAAGAATTTGAAGTGAACTTGAGCCTCATTCACTGCCGGTTGTGTTGAACAGTTTGGTTAGTGTGGATGCGCTTTTGTCCTATTTGTGCTTGTGCCATAAACTTCGAGTTTGTTTGTTCGTCCGAGTTGGGTGCAGCTCAAACTGTCCATCAGGAGAAGTTTTAGCGATCGGTTGGCGGTTTTGTGGCATGATGAATTGGTGCAGATTTCTCCTTCTCTATATTTGGCTGTTAGAGATGATGTTGTTGTCTCGAAAATGCACTCTACTGAGATTTTTGATGTGGAATCTCTCTATGCTATGCAGTAAGAAATTTCAGGGGAAGTAAATCCCCACCCGGGTTCACTGTTTCTGTCTGGCTTTAAACTATGGACAATGTGGCCAAGAGACAGATTATTAGTGATAAAACACGTCTTTTTGGTGCAATTTGTCACTTATTTGTTGGATGGCCTGTGGCCAAGCTGTGGTGGTCTTAATTTGTTGAGCTCTCAGCATTGAAACCACAGGAAGTTGCCACGAATCCGCTAGATAAATCACGCAAGATATAGCCACAAGCGCATCTTCTTCGTCCTATGTCTTATGTCTTATGTGTCGACGATGATCTTTGCATCTCGGGAAGTGCGGATTGTCACAGAGCACAAATAAAAATTCTTCGCTTGTAGAGTGAGGACCCCCTGAACCCATGTGCATATGAACCCGCTTTAAAAGAATGCATTTTAAACGTGTTTTAAAATGTCAAATATTAAAAACAAAATTTCATGCATACATCTTCACATAATGTGTGCGCGGCACAAAATATTGTGGGAAAACCTCTTTTTATTTGAATCCTCGAAAAAGACAATTTTCAGTGCTTCTAAATAGTGTTCCACGACACTTTTTTTGTATCTTTTTTGCATAGGTTAAAGAAAAAGTTGTTTTTCCGCGAAACTTTCTGCACGTGCATAGAATGTGAAGCTGTCTGTGTGAAATTGTTTTCAGAATTTTTTGGCATTGCGAAATGAGTTATTGTTTTGCCATGGGTTCAGAATGTACTTTCTAAACCAGGTTTTTTCTTCTTCTTCTAAACTAGGTGATGGCTCGGCCGCGCGTAAGGGTCCTCTTCCCCTCGTCCCTCTCCAGCCCAGCCCAGCCCAGCTCAGCCCAGATCGTGCTTTCGATGCATACTTAAAAAAACCGCAGTGTTCTTTCCAACGGGCTTCTCTCCTGGGGGGTCGCGCCTAGCGCAATGAATATCATATGTTGGAACTGTCGTGGGGCTGGCAAACCCGCGACAGTTCGCGAGCTTCGTGATATGACGAGGCAATTTGCCCCTCTATAGCTTGTATCCTTGAAACCCAAATAGAGGGCTCTAGAGTAGACAATCTTGCTGGTACACTTGGTTTTGATAGTAGCTCTGCTGTAAGTAGCTCTGGTAGGAGCGGAGGACTCGGAATATTTTCGAATGAATCAATAAAGTTAGAAGTAATTGGCTATTCGGAATATCACATAGATGTTACTGTCGAGGACGGAGGATCAGCTTGTAGATTAACTTTTGTGTATGGAGGGGCTCAAGTCCCGGAAAGATACAAGACATGGAACATGTTGACGGGCATTGTCAGTGTGTCTAACTTACCTTGGGCAGTTATAGGGGACTTTAATGAGGTACTTACACCCCAAGAACATGATGGCGTCGGGCAACGCAGTCAGGCGCAAATGGATGCATTCAGAGATGCACTCGATACTTGCGGACTGGTGGACATAGGATATCACGGGAACAACTGGATGTTTGAGAAGAAAGTTACGGGCGGGACGTTTACGCGTCTGCGCCTGGACAGATGCGTAGCAACGCCCAGCTGGATCGCCCAATATCCACATGCAATATTGGAACATAAAACGGCTGCGTCGTCCGACCACTCACCACTGTTACTACGACGAGACTGCGTGCATGCATGCAGATCGGGTCCGCGGTCATTTAAATATGAGCTAGCCTGGGAGAGACATCCGGAGCTGCAGCAGGTGGTCGCTGCTGGATGGACTTCAAACCCGGCGGACAGCGTTGCGGCCATGCATGAAAAGCTCAACGCACTTTCAACTGATTTGTCAAACTGGGAGCGGACAAACTTTGGGAATGTCAGGCAGGAAATTGCAAATCTAAAAAAGGAACTGGACACTTTGCGATCGGCTCCAGGACGTTTTGCTCCATCTCACGTGGAAACTAAAATCACTGATAGATTGGTCGAGCTCTATCATCGGGAAGAGATTCTTTGGAGGCAACGAGCTCGCCTAGAGTGGTTAGCTCACAGGGACAAAAATACGTACTTTTTTCACCTAAGAGCAAGCAGGAGACGAAGGAAGAATCAAATTAAATCCCTTCAGCTACCTGATGGCCGAGTCACGGAGGACAAAAATGAGTTGGAGGAAGCTGCATCAGCATTTTATTCTGACTTATATAGCTCGAAGGGTGTACAAAACATGGAGCAGGTTATTGATACAGTACCTCGTAGAGTCACTGATGATATGAACGTCATCTTGAATGCCCCATACACACAGGACGAGGTCAAAACAGCGTTGTTCCAAATGTTTCCTCTGAAGGCACCGGGCCCTGACGGCTTTCCAGCACACTTTTTCCAGCGACACTGGGAGGTATGTGGTGATGAGGTAACAAAAGCAGTACTCAGAATTGTGTCTGGAACAGAGTCTGCAGAAAGTATCAATGATACTATGTTGGTCCTTATTCCAAAGGTAAAAAAACCAACGTTATTAACTCAGTTTTGCCTGATCAGCTTATGCAACGTTTTGTACAAGATTGCTTCCAAGGTTATTTCTAATCGTTTGAAGATAGTTCTGCCGGATATAATCTCAGAGGAGCAGTCAGCCTTTGTGCCTGGGAGATTAATCACAGACAACATTATCACGGCATATGAGTGCCTTCACTTCATGAAACGGAACAAAGCTAAGAAGAACCAACACTGCGCTTTGAAGCTAGATATGATGAAGGCCTATGATAGGGTGGTGTGGTCTTATCTTCAGGCTATTATGATAAAACTTGGCTTCACAGAAGGCCGGGTGAACATTGTGACGAACATGGTCATGTCGGTAAAATTTTCCGTTTTGTTCAATGGTAAGAAACTTCACCAGTTTACACCTACACGTGGAATCCGACAGGGGGACCCGATCTCCCCTTATTTGTTTTTGATAGCAGCAGAGGGCCTTTCGTGCCTTATAAAATCCAGAGAAGAGTCATCTAACCACAGTGGTATACAAGTGGCTCTAATGGCGCCACCAGTTTCCACCTGTTATTTGCAGATGACAGCCTGCTATTTTTCAAGGCAAATGGAGAGGGAGCATTGGGTGTGCTTCAGATGTTGGATAGTTATTGCCAGGCCACAGGTCAGAGGATCAACTATGACAAGTCATCGATTTTCTTCAGTGTGGGAGTTCCAGATAGTGTGAGGGCAGAAGTTAAGGGATTGCTCAATGTCCTTAATGAAACCCTCAGTGAGAAATACTTGGGTATGCCATCGGATGTAGGTTCTTCAAAAAATGGTGCTTTCAAATATCTCAAAGACCGATTATGGAGTAAGGTACAGGGATGGATAGAAAAGACTATGGCAATGACGGGGAAGGAGGTTCTTGTCAAGGCGGTGGCTCAGGCAGTTCCGGTATTTTCTATGTCATGTTTTAAGCTCCCTAGAGGCTTGTGTGAACATCTCAACATGCTGATTCGCAAATTCTGGTGGGGAAGCCGGGATGGTAAGAGAAAACCTGCATGGGTGGCCTGGGAGGACATGACCAAACCGAAGGACATGGGAGGTCTTGGGTTTAAGGATTTTGAGCTATTTAACCTTTCATTACTTGTTAGGCTGGCGTGGAGGATACTACAGTCGCCAGACTCATTGAGTGCACGTGTTCTCAGGGCTGTCTATTTTCCAAATACATCTATTCTTGAGGCAGCACTCAGAAATCACCCAAGCCAAATTTGGAGAGCCATAGTAGAAGGGAGAGACATACTCAAAATTGGCCTGATTAGTAGAATTGGGGACGGCGCCACCACAAGCATCTGGGCTGACAATTGGCTGCCTAGGGAGGAGATGATGAGACCATATGGTTGCAAGGTATCAAACCCTCCCCAATATGTGTCCGAGCTCATCGACCCAACTACAGCCAGCTGGAACATGGACCGCCTGCAGCAAGTTATGCTCCCTATCGACATACCAATCATAACTAGCATCCCGCTTTGCACCAGAACAACTGCAGATTTTTGGGCTTGGAATCATGAAAGATATGGCCTGTTCTCGGTTAGATCTGCATACAAAATGCTTTTCCACACAAAAGAGCGCCGGGAAGCGTGGCTAGAGGGAGTTGCAGGACCGTCCAACACAGCGCGTGAGCGCAGTTCTTGGAGGTCATTGTGGATCACTAAGGTACCGGGGAAGATAAGGATGTTTCTCTGGAGGCTTGCTAGGCATTCACTGCCAACGGAAGATGTCAGAGAACATCGACACATGTCTTCGACAAGCTCATGCACACTATGTGGCGCTCCAGACTTGTGGCGGCATTCTTTGCTAGAGTGCACAATGTCACGATGCATTTGGGCGTTAGTTGATGGAGAGCTGGCAGAGCAACTGAGGTTAACATCGGAACCAGCCGCAAAATCTTGGTTGTTCTCTATGATTCAAGCACTATTGCATGAAGCTTTTCTCAGGCTTGCAGTAACACTTTGGGCGATCTGGTCTGCAAGAAGGAAGGCCATCCACGAAGGAGATTTCCAGAGTCCAGGAGCCACACATGCATTCATCAACATGTACCTGATGGACTTGGAGATCATCAAGGAGAAGCCGCAAACGACGCACAATGCAACCGGGAACCAGGGTCGAGCTGCTGGAAGAACTCGCCCTAGGGCACTGCCATTGGGACATGCCAAAATACACGTTGATGCCGGTGTATCTATCC